AGAATGGCCTTTTTAATCCAAATAGTTGCGCATGAATGAAGTGCAAAAGACATTTCCTACTCACTGGCTAAAATGATTACTAGGCTTTCAAAACAGCTGACAGCTGTGACTATATGATTCAGGGTCACAAATCCACGTGGCCACTATTGAGCAAGTAGCACGCTGTCTAGGTGGACAGTCAGAGCTACGTGCGTGCCAAAGCGCAATGCACGCGTACACTGGGCTCAGGCGATCTGTTCACAGCGAGATCTGATTGGTTATTACAGCTCGCGCTCATGCCGGACTGACATCAACGTTGTGTGCTTTTATTGATAGGTGTGTGTGTGCGCGCGCGCATGTGTGTGTGTGTCTGTCTGAGAAACATTGGACAGTCGTCCCATGGTGGGTGAATGAATGTAGGCGTGTGCGAGTGAGTTTGTATTCATGTGGCTGGTTAACCCGGACCTAGCAGCAATAGTAAGCTAGGAGCGACAGAAAGACTGGCGACTGTTCTCCATCAGTACAACCTGCAGTGGCAATATTCGAACTTCGTAACTGTGACGTGATGGGTGCATGCACTACTCAACCACCACCACCGCCTGTCTGATGGCCTAAATATGGCTCTGCGTGCTGTCATTTTTCTGGTCCTAGTTACTGCCCTGTTGACGCACATCACTATTGGGGCTTACTACCACACCTGACAAGTAAATTCTATTTTATACTTTTGCATTCCGTACACAGAAGCCAATAGTATTCGATGGCATGATGTATTCCGGACCATTTCACTGCATCTTCACTAGTGCATACTGCAGTCATGATGATCATTTACAAATGGGAAATTGAACTTTCCCATGACACCAAAGACAAAGGTGCACAGACACACACACAACAAATGATAGCAACTAAAACACACGTTAGTGAGGCAAAGCCAACGTAATTGTCCATTCCCACCGTTTGCACAGTTGGGGGTGATGATGGTTAATTGTAAGGGCCTCTGTACATCTCATTAGTCGTTGATTGTCTGTGACATAAATGACAGTGAACGCTGTGCTCAGATTGACATGTATTCCGTAATGGATGACCTGAGTGTTCTGCGTGCGTTCGATGACGTCATTGACTGCGACTGTCCGCTCATTGTTCTTTGTAGCCAAACGGAATAAGTTCAACCATTCTGTTACGCAGTTGTCTCTACGCCGTGCAAATGTAGGTGGCTAAACACCCACACTTAAACTGGCAAATGCAATTGAACTTGGCGTGGATAGGCAGCGGATCTTTTACCGACGGTACTTTCATCCGGGAGGTTGTATAGGGAATAATGATCTTTGTGACACAATACGTACGATTATTGGCACAACTGAAGCATTTGCAGGGTAGGCTGTTTAGGTCACCACCATTTGTAGGGTAACCGTAGGATGGTCGTCAGTTTTGGGATTGTAGTAACCTTCGTTTTGTCTGGAGGTGGCTACGAGTGTTACAACATAAGTGATTTCAGATATCCGTTGGCCTCAAAAGTTTTGGATTCCATTTAGAACTGAAATAATGTAATACACAGTATACGCCACTCGGTCATTTCTGACGGATTCCAGTTAAGTGGTGTTTGAAAGGAGGAAAAGTGAACTCTGACAGAATGTTTCGTCACTTGAAACTATCTAAAAATCCTCATTAGAGTAAACTTTTTGAACCAGAAATGCTTGTTTCTGAAATATACACACATCATAGTCGAATTTCCTTTCATTTAGTCGTGATTTAAGGTAGAAATTAACCATATTGTTATAATCATTGCTAGTATGATAGAAATGCTTAATAAGCCACGACTGGTAACTCATTGGTCCGCATAGATTGTGCAAACCTTCCTCACAAGGTGAGTAATGAACAAAATGATAGGATAATTATTCACAACCGGATAGTACTGCTGCTGGTTTTCCTATACTGATCATTCCCAAGTAACATATTCGATCCGAACAAGTATAAGCAGGAGCAGTAGCATGAGGTTTGGTTTGTTGAGGAAATTATTCATCATACACTGAGCTCATCACCGAGAGCCAAACAAGCACAACAGTGCCTAACCAATGCACCTCTGCACCGCATGATGGCATGATGGCTCCACTCGGGCGCTCGACTGATCATGCATGAGCAGTCCATGAAGTGGGACGGAAACCAATCAACCATGTTAGGCCCTGAATAATCAAACCAGCCTGTCAAAAAAGTGAGCAAACCGGACTCACGTGTGAGTGATTTCGGAATAATAATTTTCTCATTTTCACCCGAAATATCCTGTTGCTAATCATCAGGATAATTTTAAACACAGTGTGGTGATCCGTTTTGGTTTTCCACAAACAGATGATGCCATAGGTGATGCAAAGTGGATACCGGGTTCAAAGATCGACCATGATACTACCAGGGTTTATAACCTGTTTATTGGATGGTTTACAACAATTTTCTGGGTAAAAGATCGTTCATCTCTACCTGATATTTTCAGCAGTGTTACCAGAGTGTAGCAAGCTAGTACTCGAATAGTTCTAAAGCAGTGAATTATTTCTGTACTAGGTCCGAAGTTCTCCCCAAGGGGCTCACCGAAGACATCCTTATCTTATTCTGATTTCCTTTACTTTCTGAGAAATTAAATCTAAAAATAAATGGTGAGGCTTGGATCAGAAAAGTGTTCAACCACAAGCAATAAATGTGTTAGAGGCAATGCTCATAAGCATTCAGGAAATCTATTGGCGGTAGTCTTAGACTAGAAAGATTTATCAAAGGCTTCAAAGTATCAATGATTACTGAAAATTTAAATTGATTATGAAATTATTTAACATGTAATAATAAAGCCCAACCCACATTTGAAGAGCACAGGAGCAGTTTATACACACCAAGCTCCAACTGATACTCGAACCTGAGGTGCATGATTACGCTTCACACGCGTTACCATTAAGCTATCGATCCATACGATGTGTGACCTTTTCGTGGGAACCCAAGATAAAAAATGTACCTGTTGAAAAGTCAAACGAACTTGGCTACTGAACCAATAAAAGTAGTAGGGGATTTAACTGTGATAGCTCGTAGATGGGGTCATTTATTGATCAAAAAAGTAACCGTGATCTGAGCTGGAGAAGACCTACCTCGATGCATTTGAACCATACGTGCTATACGATCACGTATTCGACGCCGAAGTTCACCCCAGTCTGAGGTGATCTCGCTCAGTTCGATCTTCAGTCGGTCCGATAACTTCGGATGTTGTACAATCGTATTGACCACATCCTAACCGATGAAGCAAATTAGGGAGGAAAACAATTAGACCATCTGATGAATGGTGTTAGAGGAGAATCGAACGAGATAGGACTGAAAACGATAAGTAACTGGGGTGATAGAGGACATGATGCACACAGTGATGGTGATCGGTATGCCCTACGATCATTTCGGTCCCCTGTTTATAACATGTCCTATTTTGAAAGATTAATTAGTTATTATGTGAATAAATATGAAAAATAATATAACAAGCAAGCCACGTGATCCAACGGAGTAGGGAATTATTCAAAGTAAAACTAGTTCAGCGAATTTGATGAAAAACAGAAGTAGGTAGATTGTTACAAAGCTCCGACAGTGAGTGAAAATGAATGATGGCTTAAATCACGCTGTTTGTCAAGTTTCGTAGGTACCCAGTTATGTGGAGGACTCCGTGCTTGTGAAACGGGTTTACTAAGATGAACTAGTGACATAAGACGGAATAGGAGATAATCGCCTCAAAATTAGAATGATGCTGCAACTTTGAAGTTAGGGGTGATTGGGCTTCAGGGCGAATGGTTTTTACGATGGATCCGATCCCGTTTAGATTGGTAGTGACAACTAAAACCACTGCAATGCGTAAAGTTATCAAGAACCAAGTTGTTCAAAGAGATACAGACAGACAGAAAGACTGATGCCGTAACATAAGACCTGTTGAATTTTATTTTCTTCCATGCACTACCGGTGATTCGTTACGAGAAAGAAAAATGATTTGGACGCTTCAGAGATTTGCTAGTGATGAGTAGAGCTTAGACAACTTTATGTATCACGTCTCTACACTGATTTTTCCCCAAAAGAATTTAATACTTGAATCAATTAAAAAGCTGTGCCTATCAGGTGATTGAGTATAACCTAATGTGGCCTACCTTCACACGCGTAATTATCGTTGCAGACCATGACATGGGTGTCGCCAATTTTATGTTTACCCAGTGCTGGTGCTGACCGGTTTTAATGCTGGTGGTTGAAATACATTATGATCCTTTGCTTCCTTTACCCATTGTACAACATATATTCAACGTTTATGGAACAGACGGTGCCAACTGAAAGGTTACCGCACTGAAGAATAACCAGTGGCAGTAGGACACTGAATCAATAAGTCCAGGGTTGAGTTTCGCCAAAACGATTTTTCGACCTCCACTGATCTCAATGCTGAACAAATTCGGTGTGTGTCATATTTGTCCAATCCATCGTACTCTATGCCTATGAACACAGACCTAAAATAGGCGCAATCCCCTCGATCGGCTTTATGATGAAGATTCACTTCTTTCCATTTTCTCTGCATTGATTACTAGCTTCCAGGTCCCATCATTTTTACCTGGGTCACTCTAACGTTTCTCGAAAGGCCCATAAACCTCGAGAAAAATTTCGAACTTCATATATATATATATATATATATATATATATATATATATATATAAATGGAAAATCGTCTTCCATTGACCCATTGCAGTAGGGCAAGAAGAACAGTGTGGGTAGAGTTGATATTGACCATCAATTTCACGTCCTTTCAACCAGGTACCACCGCACATTATATATGTGGTTACAAGTAGTTAAAACAATAAACAACTCCATACGTATAAAATCAGTCTGTTTCTCACTTGGAAGACTTGCTGTATACGTTGAGTATGCATATCCAGTTCGGATTCCAGCTGTCGAAGCTGCGCATACTTTTTCCCGACAAAAGATCGATAGGCTGCTTTTTCCTCAGGAGTAACGTGACTGGTAGCCATCGTTTGATCCACTTCGTCTAAACATTCCTTCTTTTCACAAAGCCATTCTTGAATCTGGAATGAGAGAGAGGGCTGCATTTGGACGAACTCAAATTGATGATGTCCAGGTGAAGTAATACTTCACACGTGAGGCCAATGGAACGTTAGCGAAAAAATCACCTAACGCACTATTACCATCATCACAGTGATGCAATCAAGTGAAGATCGCTGAAGGGTTCCAACCATTAGCCTCTAGTTCTTTGCTATGATGGAAAAGTGAGTTTCCATTTCGGAGATATGACCATGACGGTAAGTGAAATGGTGCGTGTTAACTCACCGTTGGTAGACAGCCAAGCCACGTTGGCAGTCAACACTGGTGCAGTACCAGGTCCAAGGCTTCAGACAAAGAAATCTAGTGACAGAACAGCCTATTGATGGGGTGGATCGATAGAATGAGAGATCAATCGTGTCAGCGGTGTTTAAGCCTTAAGGCTTGGTTGTCCGCACCAGTCAGATCAATGCGTTGAGGACAACGACTGGGTACATAGACCAGAGTCATTTACATCTACTGTTTTGCACTAAAAAACGAGATGATTCGGAGGCAGAATGGAATTCTAACAAGAATTAGTGGGACAGCTGAAAACAGTACCCAACTGACAGATTACTGACCACCACTACGAACACACTCAGATTGGGCGAATGCGCCTTTGTAAACAATTTGACGCAATAGAAAACTCAAAGTAAAAGTAGAATTTCCCTTTTCGCAGTCATCAAATCAACGTGCACCACAGAACCAGCAAATGCGGCTTTGAAGTTTGGGGTGACTATCCCCATAAATTTCGAGTAATGCTATAATTTGTTTTATGATCATTCTTATTATTAACAATATGCGTCAAGCATGGTGACGAGTCAGGCGCCAGCAAATTGTTATCTTTCATCAACTGCTACTGTATGTCGGTAGTTGATTTATTTCTAGGGATTCGTAAAAGCATATCTTGTACGTCACTTTAGACGTTAGTCAATCCTTTGTTTTCACGATGATGGAAGAAGTTGATCGTAGGTTGTGTAGCGGTGCGTTGACTAGTTCCTTATTCAAAGTCATCAATTTGATACCCTGAGGACCTATGCTGAACAGGTTCGGGATATTTTGACTGATCACTGGTGCTGGTCCAGAGCAAAGTTTAGAGATTTAAAATGCTGCCAATGCCAGTTATTTGGTGGTAGACTACTATCCGGCTCGTTGCCATATCCGAACTAAAACTCTAACGGCTATTTTATTCGTCGTCCCTAATAATGAAATGGGCATTCGAGACCAGTGTGTATGCCCCTTCTACTGCACTGCTAAACATTGTGAGAGAGTTGTGCAAGTCTATGCACAACTCTGCAAATTACTCCTGACTCACAATCAGGCATTATTACTTGTTCATTACTTCGTTCACTGTAAGGATAATACAAGCCAAGTGCTCCTGTTCTGCATCTACAAAAGCATCACTTACAGTCAAGTAACTCGGTGTTTTACTCACCCACAAACTGTCGTGGTCTATGCATGTCAGTGAGGTGTTTTGCAAGGTTAGGAACCTGTCCTATTTCTCCATCAGACCGCGTATGCTCTCTGTAATTCCCTAAATGCATTTCAAAATTTGTAACCTCTCGCATTATTCCTCACTGACTTTATTGCTCCCAAGTAATCTTCCCCAGATTGCGGAAGAGATTTCCGTTTGATCATAGAATCCATAAAACACGTCTCTAGATGTAGAGGCATACCTACAGTTACACTTGTTGGCACCATCATAAGCAAACATTTTTGTGCATGTGACAGTTTTACCTCCGAAATTATCTCTGATTCCCATCATCCCCAACACAGTGAACTTACGAGGGCTGTATCTGCATCTTTAACATGCTCAAAGTTTAAACTGCTGTTCACCCGCACTTCTGCATATCGTGATTCCGTTTTGCCATATCTCACTCGTCTATTTTTTGGTCGCAAGAAGATTCTCTCAAAACTATGAAACAGCTTGGATGTCGAACAAAAGTCCGTTTTGCACATTTCTTCCTTTGTTGAGATTGTGCACACTTTGTATTATTTTATCCACAGACATGGTGCAAAAAGGCTGAAAATCCACCTTCTTGGGTGCACAAGTCAACTACTGACTTCCTTGAATTGACTCAATGAATTCTGACCATGGGTTGAGTAGAGAGCATGTGATCAAATATCTATGGTCGACTATTGCTGCTCCAACCATCCCGATCTATCTCATTGTTGAGTATCAAGCATATGTCACAGAGACTGTGTTCTCCATTCGCTAGCGATTCCTTTCACTCGATTTTAGTGACTAGACAGTTTTATCTAGAGGCTGACCTCATCCGATAGTCTGCTCTCATGATCAATAACGGTCAAGATTTATACGGTTGTTTTTCACTGAAAATTTGTGCCTCAACAGAGACACATAATGACGCCGAATCTATCGCAGGGTTTGATTAGATCATTCTCCTTCTGGTAAATTTTGGACGAAAATACAGTAGACATCCTGGTGAGGTCAGAATTCTTGTGAAAATGCTCGTTAGAAGGCAGCACGGTGAGAAAGCACAAAGTAAAGTTAGACTCATTCAGGCAATCTACCCAACAATAAAAGTGGCTTTGGAAGTTGCGAGAGATAGTGAAAAGGATTAGCAAACAGCTAATATGTCACCTAGGCTAAGGGCTCCACGAACTGTACGAAAGTTAAACGAAAACTGCATGACAAAACATACCTACAAGGAGTTTATTTCCTTGAGGAACAGATTTATGCGAAATGTGACGAAACTAGTAAGCCAAAAGGGTTGTCACCAAGGAAGCTGATTGAATTTGTTCTGATTTCATCCCCACTGTTAACGGGTTCATTCAATTAACTTTTAATCCGTAAAATATCCCTGATTAGGGGGAGTGGTATTCACCAAACTGGTACCAAGGAAACAAATGCCCGAAATACAATGCATATAGTGCACGTTAATTACCCTGAATATATTTCTGAACGAACTTTAGTGCATCAAACGTCCTCTGAGATCAAAATTTATGACGCCGATCATTTTAACATTCGTCACTGAAGCACCCCAAAAGATGCGGTAGAAAGTGTGAAGCTTTTAGTATTTGTCTTTAAGACCATAGTGGTGCAATGAATTGTATAATGCAAATAAAGTTTCCACATATTTTAGCCTCGAGGGTTGGCTCACCACCCACCAAAGCTCCATTATCTAATCCCTCTACCATTGGCCAATAGCTAACTTGTTGTTGTGTCCGAAGATGTACCCGATGGTTCTGAACAACAGACATTCATCAAGGTACCATTCTATTACTCTGTTCCCCGACAACGTATTCATTGTGCGCGCCTGGTCATTGTTTCCATGTTCAACGTATACGGATGATACCGTGTTTCTTTTTGGGAGGTACCAACGAATTCATCGTGACTGATTTCTCAAGAGGTCTTCTTCAATATCATACTAGCTTGAAATAAAACCGCCGGTAGCATACCTTGTTCGGGGCATTGACTTTCACGGAACATGTTGTCACATACTCGCTGGTGGCATTGGAAAGCAACTATGCTCCTTGTCCACGGCTTGTTAAGCAGCCAAACCTTTGGAAACCCTGATTGTTTTGTGGCTCATCAAGTCAAGAATTTCCAGAAGCTCTGTGATTGTTGAGCTCGGTACTTAGTTAGTAATTCGATTCACCATCAACCTAAGTGATGACATCCATGTGCATAGTTCCTTATTTGAAATCACAAAGTGAAAAGAACAATGATCCTGACTGGACTGAGTTAGGAAATGAGACGGATAATGGAAGACAGATACTGGTTCACTTGTGTTGTTCGACGTGTGAAGTGACTCGTCAACTGTGCTATGCTATTAGTTTGACCGCACACGGTACGAACAGATCCCAATGCAGCGTAAGAATGCATTTATTTGGTGCATGACCAACAGAATTTCCGGAATATTTTCGCCTGTCACAATCGGCCAAGTGTCTCTTGAATTGAAGGAGATATTCGATATAAAAATTAGAATAGAAATCGGTCTGCTTATCAATTTCATTGAAAAGGGAGTGGGCTTACAGGCCAACATCAGTACGAAACAGATCCAGAGCATCTCAAAAACTATTTTCTATATTACTGATTTTTATTTTATTTCTACCTAAAATTGCGCTTTCGCTTTGCAGATAAAAACAAGCTCTCAGTGAATCTCAACTATTATACTTCTAACCGATTTGCTCCCGTGGTGCAACCTACATTGACCGTACCTCATATGCCTGTTTGATCACATTCTGGAACACCACACTAGCTGACTTATTTCAGGCCTGTGAAGAAGCAGTCACCGCTCGAGTTGCCGTCATCAGCCATTCGACTGGCACGTGTTAGTCAATCATGTCCCTCTACGTGGTGACAGGAGTGTATTCAAAAGAGGTCAAGCATCGTCCATTGCGCATCACCCAGGTGGTCGTAATTTGGTTGAACAACCCGCGCTCCCTTTCTGTCTGCGTCATGAGCAGTCAGTCAGAGCTCTGGGTCCGCATCGGCCGTACATAGTCAAACTACCGACATTACACAGTTGATGAATCAGTGTCTGTTTTCGATAACCTCTCTCCTACTTTCAAACTTATTCCTACCCGATTAATCATATGAATGTGCTTTATTTGAATAGTAGATGAACCACGAAAACAGAATTTTTCACCACTGTATTCTAATGTCGCGGTAAAACTTTGCTGATACCTTAACTGTTATGGAAGTCATACACCGCGAGCCGGAAACCAACCAATGGGCTTTCTCTTACTGGATAGTTGCTGTACCAGCTCTACCGGCTTCTCATGTCATTATTGAAAAATTCTGTCATGAAACTGTTCAATGCTTATCTGATAGACGCACGAGTACCTGTGTGTACAGGCTCACACACGAAACGAGCGAAGAACGGCGCTAATATGCACCTTTTATTCTCGTACTAAGCAGCACATTGGCGTAACTATATAATTCTGCATTCATGATAACGAACAAGTAGTGGCGAGGCTCAAGGACAATAACTTTTTTGTCTTCTCTGATGCAGCGAGCAAT